TATGATTAGGTATCCGGAATGTGTATGTTACACGAACTGTTCGTCATTAATTAACATTTATCTTGTGTAACAAGTAGAAAGTTACTCTTTAGTAAACTACTTTTATGCTACTGGCTTTATTCGTTGGTCGTACAAATAGATATATATCACGTCATATTGCAAGGAGATGTACTTTCGAAAATATATGTCACATGAAGATATCAAGAAATATATAAATGTCATAAAACAGAAGTAAGCCTAATAAGGTAATATTTCACTTTCCCGAAAGCCAAAATATCACATCTAGTTCCATATTCCCGAAACACTACACTACAGCTTAATATTTAGTGTTTCTCTGTATACTTGTCATTTATTAGTGTTTAACGAGTAAAGCAGTCGTCAACTGTATGCAGAAAGACATAACGCTACCTTTTATGGCAATCTCAATCAAATGTTTCTCCCAGTCACGCAGATTAACTAGCCTTAATTGGTCTACTTTAATAAGTTGGTATGCATGCCAATATTATCTACTACCTAATCGTATTTTTATTTAGACTAATAATACTTAATAATGAATTAAACGTTAATGATGAAAATTTAAAATAACTAATACATTGACCATGACCAATGATAATTATTATAACTATGTAAGTAGGGTGGACATAAATTGACATAATTGTAATATAATGTAATATTATTATATTCGAACTTGAAATAAGTTTATTTTAGCAACATTATTCTTGAGGTAAATATAAAAATACAGCTTATAATTCCTAAAAAAGTCGACGAGAAATTAAGTTACGAACTTATTTGGATTCCTGCTAAATTCAACAAGGATCATTTTAAATTGTCGATATCCGTAAACTTGCAAAGTCTTGAACAAATTTCCTGCGACACGGACTTTCTATTAGGATTCTGAATTATTCATAAATCCGATCGTTAGATACATAAATATTATGCTTGTTATAGGGTGCCAATGTGTTATGAACTGGTCGCTATGGGCAAAACACATAAACTTTGCTAACACTATAAATATATTGGTGTTACGTGAATATTACTTGTCAGTTAGAGATCCATAAGTGATCAAGTACTTTGATAAAGAACATATATTTTGCTGCTTACTGAAACTCAAACTCAATCATTGTAAAAAGAAACTGATATACAACCCTTCAACCAAAAGAAGCGTTAGAAAGCAAGCTACTTTGTGGCTGAAATACATGACACATTATATTTTTCTCAACGGTCACGAAAATTATCGTAGGTCAATATGTGTTAAATATGTATATTAAAATTTAATTATTTAATACAAAAATGGACCATATTTTTCTGGTGTCGACGTCGGCAAATTACTTATTTAACTTCGGCCCAAAAATTCTATGAGGCCTTTTATTATATTTTAATTGGTTTAGCATTTAGTCCACTTTAGTGTATATACATATACAATGATATTTTATGTTGTACGTCCGCACGTTTTAGTTAATTCAATAAGCACCTTCATGGTATGACGGTAGAGCCAGAAATAGGTATCCATTGACGCCCGCTAAGTGTTATACTAACGTCGATACATTTCTTGTCGAAGCTTTGACGTAAGAAATATTAATGAGTAGGTACTGCGCTCTACGTAACCATTTTAACACGTTAGCATTTCTAATATTACAATTTTAATTATTTTATATTATATATTCATATTATTAATATATAATGACATTATCAAACAATTAAAATAAACGTTTAAATCAAATAAAACATGCTTATAATTAGTGATTAGTATAATGTAGCTGATCTCTCGATAAAAGTAATGTTTAAAAAAGATACGAGATCTTAATTTACATAAAAGCTAGTGTTTAGTGTGTGTTTACGCATAAAAGTGACAAATATATAAAATTCTACATTGATTTGATCTTGTATTAAATACAAGATCAAATCAATGTAGAATTTTATTATAAATATTTGTCACTTTTATGCGTAAATTTAAATAATTCGTAGATATCCACTCTAATTACAAAAAGAATAGACATATATTCTGATATTGATAATTTGATTCCCTTAATATTATATAAAGTATTGTATTGAAGGTGTTGTTTCATGGTCTATTACTGTAAAACCAATAGATTCTGCAATAATAGAACATGAAACAACACCTTATCATTTAACATCAATTTTCTACCATAGTGGATGACTAGATACATAAAATCATGACAGAAAGTAGTCCTGAAAGATATTAACTAGAAATTGTACCTAATGACTAAATACGAATACATATAGACTGTAAAATCAGAACCGGGGACATAATGAAATTGCCAATCGGACAAAAAGTCTTTTGAAAAACGTATTCTTCGTCTTTTCTTTGCGTGTTTTATGTGATTAAGTGACGTGGTTATAGACATACAGATAAAATAAACAGGTAAACTATTGTATGTTTATAAAGATCAATAATTTAAGGTACTTACTAAACTTTGGGAGTGTCCGATGTCTTCAGAACATATTACGTAAACAGTGTGATAGCATATCATGACAGATCTTTTAATCCCTTAATCATAACGTTACCTATTTGCGTCAATGATATGTTTAATAAGGTATTTAGAATAAAAATCAAACATTGTTATCAAGATTAGGCAATTAATTTTATCATTAGTAAGATACAGGATTTAAATATATACGTCAACATTTTATCGGTAATAAAAAAGCGTGTCAATAACATTGCTGAATATCATTTGAAAAAAAAATTAAACAAATTCTTTTTTGTTCGGCGCAGAATACATTCCAAACTCATAGTAAATTTGTTTATCGACAAATAATAACAGAGTTATTTTTATAATTACTTAATAACGTATTTACCGATACTTATAATTATATAAACAATTTCTTTCTTCAAATTCACGTTTTTATATATTCAATTTGCATTTTATATAAACCTATGACTATAATTACAACTGCAAAGCTAAAAGAAAAGAGCATTTTAGTAGAAAACATAAATATTGTAGATAAAATAATAAAAGAATGTATAAATTTATAATTCAGCTGTTTAGCTTTTTGTATTGGATTGGATTGAAGTATAGGGTACGACAATGCAGTTTTTATTTTTCTATATTTACCTAAATAGACTAGAGCATGACTACAAATCAACGTACATAACTAGTAGATAAATTATAGAAAGTATATCAATATCAAGTACGTGATTTCTGCTTTGCGGACAGAAGAATGCATGATTAAACATATGGGTGACGCAAGTGGCCGCCTCTTATCGATTTCATTATTTTTTATCTTCGGCGTCCGCTCTTTCTAGCCTAGTTATAGTAATTAATTATTATCTATGAGGTTCACTCACTGTAACATGTACTTACTCATAATAATTTCATGATAGATTTATAAACTAGATTACACCTGGGAGCCGAAATTCTCGTTACAATCTATTTTCACGTCAAACTTCATTAATATCCGTTCTGAAATTTAGTCGCTCAAAGATAACAAGCAGACAAACAAACACATTTTCGAATTAAAAATATTAGTATATATTTAATACGCATATTATTTTATTTACTTACTATACAATACAGACGTGTCCTTTAAATAAGCCTTAATAATGATAATCATACACCGTTCCATTAATTATTAGATAACTAAATACATAAAAAATTCCGTTACGTCTCAATAAATAAACAAGGCAAAAATATAATCAAGTTTTTACAGATAACCTAGTTTACTAAAGCAATTAAGTACCCCGGCCATAATCAATTTAATATGGGTTAAAATAACACCCCGAAGGGCAACAATGTTGGTAAACTCATTACTTACTAATATATAAGTCGTGTTTTATGAGTTATATGCTCGTGATCGTACATGATAGAGCACTGAATAAGTGGCCTGCAGTCTGACATTTCTTACCATATAACAATGTTTCCACGATAGACGACGGTTGTAAAAAGGCGTACACGTCTTAATCTCACCCATTTTAACTTTAACTCACCTATTTAACTTTAGCCAAGCAGCTTTATAAGCTGCTATGCAACAGTTACCATTTACTGTCAGGTAGGCTGTCAGAAATGTTATCTATTCCGGTTACATAACAATACATATTATATAAAAAAAATATATATTTACGATTCAATTTTAATTCGATCGCGTAAAAGACAATATCCTTACGATTATCCTTAAAAAAAATCAATAATGTCGAATTTTAATAAGGAATATTGCATATTACAAAAAGAATTGCTATTAATGTAAAATTATCAGAATTTTTATTTAGATAGTTGGTAATCACGAAGGAGTTTTTATATGTTGTTTTGGAAAACTTAGTTAAACCCAGTGATGATATAATACGTAACCTACCTCTTTGCTTTGTTTTTTATAACATTATTTACACATAGTTATGTATAAAATTTTCAGACTGCCTAATTTCGTTAACATAATGTACGAACTTTTCTTTAGAACTCGTAAAAGAGAATTATTATATGCTTCATAAACGGTATAGGTGTCAGCAATATTAAATGAAGTTATAAAACATTCAGCTAACAAAGTCTGTATCCTCTTGCACTCAAGGAAATTAAGGGATCGGAGTTTGGGCCGATCTCTGACGAATCTTAATTAGAAGGAAAATTGGTGAAGTTGAAAGAGCCGTGTTGTTTATAGACCTTTATATACCTTTATATAGTTTATAGGCATTTAGAAAACTCGCATATCATTACATGTTTAAAGACATTGCATTGCAATCATGCGGTCTAAATTATAATTAAATGTTTAGAAATGGTTTGCATATTTTATTACTTAATATTTATTATTTAACAGTAATAACTGAAAACTAGACCTTCAATAGATCGCGGCCACTGATGTTTTAGTCGTAGGAAGTCAGTATAACACAAGACTTGTCACCAGGAAAATTCTGTTATTATATAAACTTGGCAGTATACCAAATATTTCCGAACTTACATAATTGCATAATTATTTTCAATGAATGAAAAGATACTGATTCAATAGCACTTTGGTCGGTTGAAAACGTAGTAAAATAAATTGTCTATGCTCACCTTCACTCATAAAGTAGGGTATCCTAAATCTTCCTGATAGCACACGATCCCTTAATGACTGAAGCGTGGAACCATCGAAAGGTAATGCGCCACAAACGAGCACATACAGTACTACACCAAGACTCTGTAACAGTAAAAGTTTACAATATTTATTCAGATATGATTAATGAAATTTGTCTTCAATTTCTACCCCTAACTAGAAAAATATCCCTAAGAAAATAAATATTTAAATATCCTTAATATTGTTAGTATTGTACATGACGTTACTTCTAAATCTGTGTATGTACAATTTCACAATTCTAGAGACATGGAATTAGACCATGCTTATCGGTGAGTGTCGACATTTCTGTTTTATTCTACTAGTGAGTACACAAAAACGCATTCCTCCTGTCTATACAAAATAGACAGGAGGAATGCGTTTGCGCACCTTCCATATAATTATTTAATTATCATTAAACAGTTCCAGTCGATTGCATTATATGTAACTTGGTATAACATTTTCATATACAAAATTGTAAGTGAGTCATGCTCTGAAAGATATTCTTATAGTTACATAAGGTAAAGCCATTTCAAATCTGTTTAATATTGGAACTGGTAGAGTACAATGAATAAAACTTTAATATCATACCCATATGTCAATTTCGGGGCCGGTGTACCGCTTGCCTTCGAAAACCTCAGGGGCGGCGTAGGGTGGGGAGCCACACCAGGTCGCGAGGAGTTCCCCCGTCGCGTAGTAGTTACTGAAGCCGAAGTCTGCGATCTTGATGTTCATATTAGCGTCCAATAACAAGTTCTCCGCCTAAATAGCAAAAGTTTCCTTATACAAAAAGTCGACAAGTGAAAGAGGGTTTTAATATTTTAAGGTGGACTGACAATGAACTTATTTATGTATAATTTACATAAACCTGATATGTCATAACACGATATATACAAATACATAATACTTTATGAATTTGTAAATTTAAAATTATCGTATAAATCCGAATACTTCAAATGGAGATTGTTCAATAACAAAACCGTAGTGAAAAATTCAATTGTTTTCAATTATTCTGGATTCACACAAGAATTACTAAGAAAATAGACACTATATGCTCGGAAGATTACTTATGTTGGGTTAAGGTTTCGTTTGTACCTACTACATATTTTATAGTTTTTACAAAATCTACTAAAATTTACATAAATACTGAAAAAGTCAAACTTGTAATCAACCCATTCATTACTTATTAAGCATGGCTTTCACGATGCAGGTACTGAATATTTGTTGTGTTCTAGATCAATTTCAAAAAATATATTATATATAATATATTTTTTGTATAATATATTAAATAAATATATATAATATATTAAATAAATGTAAGTATGACAAACAAACCTTCAAGTCCCTGTGCACTATTCTCCTATCGTGACAGTATTCTACTGCAGAGAGAATTTGCCAGAACTTTCTTCGCGCTGCCTGCTCTGCCATCCGGCCATACTTTGCTATGTAATCTGTATGGAAACATGTACACTAAACTCATTAATTGGAACAATTGAGAACATACACTCATTTTGTGAAAAGAAAATTAATACTGCAGGAAACTAGGTAAAATGAATAGATAGAGAACTTCTCCAAAGTATTACTTTTCCTGAGTATTACATCGTATAATCGTAAGCAGTTACAGTTTTCCACATTTATTGAAAATTTTATATTAAGGCCATGCTATTAATCGTATCATAGTATTTTAATGGATTAAGTTACGTAACTTTTAAATAAAATACCTTTGGAAAACTGGTTGGAAAAATCGTAATTGGAAACCTTATCGTTAGTAATATCTATAAATTTACATTGTGGTCACCCAATCATTCTTCAAAGTTTATTAGACTTTGATGTCTTTTTTAAGTATTCTGTCAGAACTAAGGTTTTTATTGTTTCTTTGATTTTATTTATGTTTTGTCTCATGAAATTATCTAATAACATTTTTAATTACGACAGTAAGCTGTGAAAAACAAATGACATTTTCAAAGACATATAGGTATGTATCTATAATTAGATATTTTCATCTATATAACATTGAGAACTTATAGAGCAATTGTTATTCCTCAGTGCCAGCACGCGATATTACTTTCAGATAGTTCAGAAGTAGTAGTAGTTGTATTATAAAATCGCATAACCTGCTGTGATATAACAGCCAAGTTCACTGTCAACATTCTAATGTTCATTTCAAGGACAATAACAGATTATTTATTTAAGTATGATTCCGCGGTATAGGGTACATCCTGAATAGAAATCATTTATTGATTGTACGACCTCAAATGGTAAAATGCTAGTAAATTGCAACGGAGCACTGTTATTTATGTAAGCATGCTATCATATCAGATCTGTGACTCAATTATTGAATATAATAATAATAATAATCTTAAAATAATACACGTCAAGACGCCCTAGAATTAATTATGTATACATGTACGTAGGTGTCATATAAGTACAATTTAAAAGCGATCAGCTATTATCGGTTAATCTTATAATGATCAAAAAGTAAATAATGAAATAAATTGATAAGACAAAATTAATTATTAAGATTATTATTGAGATGTTTATAAGATAATTATATTTAATGCTATTAGTGGAAATGACAACATCAGATCATATTCTGAAACGTGATTCTCAGAAGCTGAATGAAACTCTACCACATGATAAACATGCTGCTATTGGTAAACAACCAACTTTGAGTTTCAGTGACGAGTCATTTTGTAAGCCATGACGTTTTCTAAAACTATAGGTTTCCTGATTCCTCATAACTCATACCACAGAAATCGCAGGGTATCCTAGCCAGATGACAAAACAAATGGAATTATTAATGATTACTATAAAATTAGTGATATCGATCACGTATGTATGACGTACCTACATGAACAAAACCACAAACATTATGGATACAGATAATATAGAGTGACGTAGACTGTTCCCTTGAATGCCCTTCATACGTTGTTAATTCTGGGGAGTGTTAGCTTTTCTTTAATGTGGACTGATACTAACGTTCTTATCTTATTTCAATCAAAATATCGTAACAATCTACGCATAAAAAAGAAAAGTACTAATACGATACTAGCCAGATCTTTTGTTTTAGTATAGTATAATTCTCTTTTAATTATCTTATACTGATGTAATGTGGTCTATTTCCATAGGAGACATCCTCGAGAACAAAATGAATGACACAAAAGATGACACAATATATTATACCTAATCCTTCTTCACGGATTTACGGATATACAAAAAAATGTTTTTCAGTTCACTACAAAATTACTGCAAATGCGTTATTACTTGTATATTACGTATTTTTTCTACTATTTTCTTTCTGAAAACTCAACAAGTACCTACATGGAATCTAACGTTATACCTAATATAAATACAGATAATTGAATAATTGAATCAGTCAGTATTCGCAAAAACACCAACTTTTGGGGCGCACGAAGTCAGCTGTGCGCGAAATTGCTTTTCCCTGTCCCCCACTCAGGCCTTGTAACCCCGACAATACCCTTACCAGTGACGTCACTGCCAGCGTGCTTACGTCATAGACAAAGCGACCACGAACTTACGAGCACCCTTAATCGATTTCGAGGTTACAGTTATGCGCTTTTTGGTGGCGTTAAACTTTATAGTTAGACCACGTATAACCGTTAATTAACATTTGTATAACCATACGAGTATATATGAGTATAAAATAATATATCAAAATTTGTTAAAATAATAATGATAAAAGTTTCCCTTTTTCAGCATTTTGAAAATAATCCATAAGGTATTCGTATATATACGAATAATAAATAAATTATGTTAATTTTAATGCCTGTATATTCTCTAGTAACAATTTACGTAAACTTATGTAAATATTATAGAAATAAATGAGTACATAAATGAGTTTAAGTCGTAAATTTTAATTTAAATAAATAATCTGTCAACCGAGAGGTTCTCCAAAACGATCTACAATAATTTAAACAAAATGTATTTGTTCTTTAATAAAAGAAAGATAATCGTGACAAGGAAACAAGAGAAATATATCTGAATTCAGTCAAGCTGGCTAATGCTAGTACCTACATAATTATGTCTAAATAATATTTCATTAATATAAAATTAGACTCATGCGACATACTAATCGCGGTTAAAATTAAATACAATAAAGATCGTATGATAAAATCTGACCTACAATCTGGTGCTTAAATTAATATACCACTCGCCATTTTTACACCGTTTGGCTCGGTATAGGGGTGGGGGTGCCTTGGAACGGACGGAAAATTAATCATTCAACCTTTTATAACCGTGATAGATCGCGTGGGGCTATAAAATATAATAAAATCGATAAAAAGGTAACAATACATTATTATTAATGCTGCAATATATTTATTTTTCTTTAATGTTTAATATATAATTTTAAATATATAATATGTTGAATTGTTTATGTAATGTAACCTGATATTAGGGCTGCTAACCAAACCTGCTGTCAAGATTGACTGCGATCAAGCGATGGCCCCGCCGGATTTCAAGTGCAAAATCACCAATTTAGTTAGAGAAACCCGACTATTGGAATGATAAATAAATCTAAAAGTCTAGTTTACAAATTCATTTATAAACCATTAATCAAGTAAACTCCGGCACAGTAATAGTACCTACCTGACGTACGACAGAATGTGCAAGGTGAGAACATGCAAACGACATTTTTATTTTGTAATTATATGTACGTATTTTCACTGAAGTATTTCTTTTTTATCGATTTCCGGGGTACTCGTGAAAACTTTATTTCAGGAAAATAAAACGAAGTTATTGATTTTTTGTATATCTAATTACCTAAACTTAAACCTAAGCTAACCTAAAAATGTAAATTTCGTTTTTATCAATGATTTCACGGATTATCTGGATAGTTCCGAAACCAGGCATATAAAAGGTGATGATAATGAAATGATTTACTATGAATGAATTTATAATTATACATTTAATTTATCAATGACAATTTCACCCCTAGTACTTTTATACACCCCCATTATCATGAGATCCAATTTTCAAGACTATTATAATCTCCAAAAAATAATCGTAACCATTTTTATATTTTTTACTGACAATAAATAGAATTAGAATCTCAGTTCAAGTATGTACTTGATGTCGATTTGATTAGGTAAACGTGTTGTACTAGTAGACAATAGTTTCAATAATGTGCAATAAAACACTAGTTTTCGGAAACACTATAGATGTTATGAAATAACATGTTCTGTTCCATATTTACTTACCAAAAATTTCTCCTTTACTTGCATATTCTGATACAATGTAGATCATGTTTTTCGTCTCCATGACCTGTAACCAGAAATATGTTATGTAAAAAAAAAAAAGTCGTCACTACTGTTATCCCAGGTAGGGTAGTTAGACACTGTCATCTGTCGACGTCTTTGTGAACGCAACACTTGATATTTCTATATTTTACTGGGAATATTTAAAGAAGAAATTTGAATATTTTATAACTTTTATTCTTAATGAAGTAAAGTACTTCATAGGCAAACACTATCTGAAAACATGATAGAAATATGTATTATCTGCTGCTAATTTAACCATTTTTGATGATTGTTTACAATGTGACTATCAACTTGATAGAAAGTAGTATCTGTGGTTCATAGATATGAATAGCAACACGGTCAACACATAAGACATCGTGACGCACGTTGTTACTCTTAAAAACCAAAATGTTTTATCTCTTACACAGTAATTTCACTGTCATAGTTCCCTTTCAGTCCCGAATACAGTTATCAAAGTAAGCGCCGCACTCTAAAAACATCTAATGGTTACCATCGTGATAAATTCCTGCATGGGCTACTACCTCATGCTCATATTATCATCCCCCACTGGTGCCCCGCCAGCGTAAACCGTTAGCGCAGGCGGGTGCACCATTCCATTATCATCCGTTAAAAAAAACACTACTCGGCAGTTGCGCGATGTACCTATTTTTATGCATAGTCATAAAAGATATTAGTATTCTACACTATAAAGAGATAAACTATATGTGTGCGAAATTTCATACTTTTCTTCTTTTACCGCGCAATTTTCGTAAAGACGGATACAAAATTTTTACTTTACTAATTATGTATATGTGTATTTACCTATGTATCATGTACCTATAAAATTATTAATTGTGTCCTTATGTACACATATGTAATTCAAATAATTTGCTATACCATAGTTTAACAATATTCAGAGAAATATGATTCATTGTTCATTGAAATTACGCAATATACGAGTAGCTATGGCACCAAACATATTAATACCTACATAACTCAATGTTATGCAATTCGTTGCACTTGCAAGGCACCGTCTAGCGACTGCAGATTTATAACTAGCTACCTATTGCTTTGAATAATAACACGTTACCAATAAGAAAAAGCAATTACTATTTATTAAGATACCCAGTATACCTACAATAATTATGTAATGTTTGTTTATGCTAGATGTTTTTTATTTCAATAACATTTACGTTATTGATGTTGGTCGCTGGTACAAGGCGATCAGCTAAAATTTGTCATAGATAATATACTATTATGTGTGTGTAAAAATTTAAAAACAATCATTTATACGTATCTGTCAGCCAAAATTCTGTCTGTCTGTCGACAAACCAGTTGCATGATGACGCCCCTACCATCTACAACGATTTGCGAAATTTTGTTCTTTATATTTTGTAACTATACACAGGTTTAGAAGTTGCGTAAATGCAGATGTTACTTTGTAATACCATTGAAAACTCTTATACTCCTACATAATATTCCTATGGACGACTAAAATTTTTATTATTTATTAGTTTCTTTTATGAATAGAGATCTATATTAATTGTAAAATTGAAAATACATATTCAGTAAGCACTTATACATAGCTAGTTAGTAGTACTTATTAGTGGAACAAAGTACTTAGTTATTTTGGAATTACCGACACAAAATTAGAAATAAAAGCCTAAAAGAAGCTACCTGTCTGCCGTTAACAGTTAGCTGAATGAGATAAGAGATGAGATACCTGTGACCAGTGTGATAATAAGTTATCGTGATAATGAAATCTATATATAGGTTAATAATTGAGGTCGGTGATGGACGTCGCTATAGCATATTGAAACAAAGTTACACTAATATATGAATCTAGATATGCCACTGCAACGCTTAAGTATAAGGGTCCCAGAATAATGGCTAATTTACGGCAATAAAGTATTATCTGAGGCGTATTAAACATATGTATTAAAAACTAAAATACTTTTGTTATCAATGTATAGAAAAATTACATTAAGGTGGGTCGGTATCCGACATTAACTTCCGCAAAATCATGTTTACAATTTTATTTCCTACTCGCTTAGGTAAATTAAGCAAATCAATCAATACCTACTTATTATCATACGGAAGTTATAAATGATGCTAAATTGTCTTGATTTACTACATTTGGTAATGTCGTTTGATATACTAGAAATACATAATGTTTTAGAATTGTATAATCAAAAACACGTTCTATATTTTGACATACATATAAGATTGTAAATATAAAAAGATTGATAAAAAATTGCTTATCAATCAATTATGAAATACAAAAAAACATATCAACTAATTGAATCTAATAAAACCAACATTAATAAAAACGAGACTGCGAATTTTGTGTTTCAAATTTATTTCCTGCTTTGTTAAACTTCTTTCGCCGTTTGATAAACTTCTTTATTCTAAGTATAGGATATTATTCATCATGGGCGAAGTCCTTTCCAGAGTGCCGGTAGGGCAGTAAGTGTAATTTGTACTAATATAATAAAGAAGTAGTGGATTTTATTATGAATAAAAGTAAACACAGAAACCGCTGTACAAATTTTAAAAATTCTTTCTCACGTTAAAACATGCTTTGTTCCAGAATGACAAATTACATATACTATTATGTTAATACATATATAAGTGACAAATTTATATGCACATAGGGCGGAACTACAGTTACAATACAAACGCCTATAGAGTGGCTTTATTCTCTCTCCCCTGTTTTTAAATACATTTTAATATACTATAGGTCACCTATAGTATATTAAAGTGTAGTATATTAAAATATATGACTATACATATTTAAAATGTATGTGAAAACACGATTCCTCATATATAGTGGTACATCCTGTGGTAGAGTTACAGAATACAAGGTATTTAATATTCTATGGTTGCGGTAGAGTTTGGCATTGGCAGATGCGCGCGGCGGCGAAAAACGCACAGGCGTGCCCGTGAACCGGCCTCGGCCGCGGTAAAAATGTAAACCGTCACTATAAATAATACCTTTCAAACATGACTCATTTCTGTCTGTCTGAAACTATAACAGCATCAAAACATAGAGCCCAGTTGCGGAAGAAAATGAAGGTATTTTAATATTTGGACGAGGAAAGCTACGATTTGTAAAAAAAACTATTATTATGATATTAAGTAAGTACCTGTAGTGTACGAAAAGTAAATAACATTTATATTTTTACGTAAGTATACAAGATGTAACGGCAGAGTATAACAAGCTTATATAGCAGAATAGCTGATTCGAAGATGCTTAACGGAAAAACTGAAATTTAACATCTTTAAATATAAGTGATCACTTGTGAATTTCCTGAAAGAGGACTTTCAGTATCTACTAATTACAACGCCAGTGAACGAAGTATATATTAAATTTTATATAAAATTATTAATATAAATTGGTAATAGTGTGTAATAGCCGACTGTTACACACTATACGTGTATATATATAATTAATGATATTGTCTTCATAAAAAATGTAGATAACCTTTACAATAGGTGCTAGAAGGCGAACAGTTTATACCCCAAAATTACGCACACGAAATTAGCACATATTAATTGCCTACGTAGTTTCAAACAACGGATACGAGTGTTTTATTGTTGTGAATGGACGGAAACAGCCTTCCCGTAGTATAAGGACAAAGGACAAAACAGTCACCAGTCTCCATTCAAGATGAGACAAAATGTTTGTATACACTGAGTTGGCCTTCTCGGGATCCATTGGAACTATAATATTGCCCGATCCATTCATTCGATACAGACTGCTGCACATTACACAGTACCAGGGTTGACTACCGTACGAGGATGCTTCTACAAATACGCGATTTTATTTTAGGATCTACAGAAATCGGTCAAAATATTTTGATGTACGAGGTTAGAGATGCAAAATTTTTTTATATTTACTAGGACGTGGTTTAACTTAGGCAATCCTACACAGTAACTTGTATTCAAATGCCATTGTAGCTAGAATTCATTTGGCATATAGATGTATTCTCATTCTATTTTATTTTACTTCTGTGCTGAATTATAATTTTGGAATAATCATTCCATGATTAATTAGTTAATGAGATATTTATTTTGATCTAAAAGACTATATATTTATTGCACAAGAACAATCTTTATTGGCATTGCATTATAAGCATCGCCAAGCCAACAAACAATGCCAATCTATCTGGCTGTAAGAAGTATTAAAAACTACCTGTTATTATCGATCAACATCGTAGTCTATCAATATACTCTATTTAAATATTTATTTCCTGATTAAGGGAGGGATGCCAATAGTTATGAGAAGTCTCGTACAAATATAGATTTTTGGCTTTTGTACGAGGATATTTTCACCCTCATACAAGTTTTTACAAGTTTATACCTTAAAACCAAACTACTACAATACTATGATATACATTAGCAAAAAGAGCCAAATTGAGTACTGATTTCATCAGATTTTTTATTTCATTTTACGAGGCTCAGTGTTTTTAGGTAAGCAACCCTGGAATCAGGTTTTTATATTCTATGTCATACAAGTTCTTATCGCCATTACAAAAAGTAAATAGCAGTCGAATGTATTTTTCTTCTTTAATGATTATTCAAGTCAATAAGTTAACAATACGCATAGCGTACAATTTAAACGCAAAACTAGAAACAATTTAAGATCTATTATTTAAAAGAACTATATTTTAAACACATTCCTAATTTTCTCCTACATTCTACATATCTTAAAATTAGAGTAAGTACTTGGATTTATTTATACAAGATTCGCGAATGGAGGATTTATTTCGTGTAACTGCCAAGTTTACATAGCAATTGTACTCTGTTAAATTAGATTCTCTCCTGATTAGTTATAACTCTGTCTGCTCTGAGACTGACACGTGAATAACAAGTATGAAATAAATCAGGTAAATGAATTGTACGCAGATTTGAAAAAGAAACAACGGACATATAACAATATGTTACATGACGTAAGAAAATGGGTTTTCTTCACTCATATTTTTTATAATTTTGTTTTCCGAAAATTATGTAACACCAACCAATTTCAGGTGCCAATTTCTATCATTGCAAAGTTAGACAAGATACGCGCAATTATCGATATTACCATTTTTTTATTATTATACTACAGTTTTAAAATTATCCGTAAATATAATCTTACTATCTGTTTTTCACGACTTCGTTTACTTTTTTGTGATGAAAGAGTCTAAAATCTGTCCTTTTAATCATACAATACAATACAATCAATACAGTATATATACAATCATTAATTACATATAATCAATCAATCAATACAATACAATCAATCTCTATCTTATATTGTATTAAGATCTATTCAGCCATCTTATCATGAAAAAAAAAACAAACAGATAGACTGACACAGTTTCACAATTATTATATTAGTATGGAAAATGTAAATAATATATCGGTTGAATTTCAGGTGATTTTAGTACGCCGTACGCCGGGTCACTTTAATTTCCGGAGATATCGGATGTTTATGTGACAATAGGAAAATCACCTTGACAATTTGTCAAAGTACAACAGGAACAAGTAATTTCCACAGAGATTCTATGTGGTATGTTAAAGGTATTTTATATATTATTATTATATTTAAGGGGAAAATTTTCTTTCCAAAACTCTCCTTAAAAGTATATTTTTATATTTTAAATATTTTTTTAAAATATACCTTATGTCCAATTACGTGATACAATTGATCTTCATATCTAATTAGTTAAGATATATTTAACAATTTATAGCAAACAGACAGACAGACATACTTTATTTATTACAATATTAGTTACGCATACTGCGAAAGTAGAGTTAGTAAAGTGACTAATTTAATTTTGTAACTGCAGGTAACTAACTATCCGTCTCCGGTTAGATGAAATATTGTTGTGGTTAAAATAACTTAGTCATTCAATTAGCATAGTTCAGTCGATAACAACGCGCTGTATTTATTTAATTTAATGAAAATGTCTACATTTAGCTTCTCATCTGGGCCTTTGTGCATAATTATAGTTATTTATAATTTTATTATATTAGTCACTAGTAATACTACATTCTGGATTTTTTCAAGTAGTCAACGACTAAGCTGGAAACCATAACGGATAAATTGAATTAAATAAGAAATACATAGAGATAACTGATAGAAGAAAAATAAAAACTGTCATATTACATTCATAATACTTAACGTCAAAACACATACACACATAAATAAATAAAGTAAAAATTATAATCTATTAGCGTATCATTGCAAAATGAGTACGAAATACTTAAATGTAGGTCAAAAGACACAATGTTATGAAATTTTAAACCGACTTCAAAAGATCGTTATATTTTTACACTGGTTGGTTACTCCACCGACTTGTCGGTAATTTAAAATTTCATATAAATCCATATACAGACATGCAATCATTAACAGTTATTGAGTACACAAACAAAATCATTAAATCATTACGTAAACTAGTAATAGAAATGCTTCATTAATTGTATAACTCGAATTCTAGTTTTAACACTTTATTCCTTGGAATATAGATCTAGATTTATTGCAGTATATCCAGTTTCTTACAACTCGATGTACTGCAATAAATCTTACTATGAGTATTACATAGAATTGTATAGTAGAGAGGCAGCCATTAGTAGTGGGTAATATGAACTCACATTGGTATCGACTTCGCTGTATGTATTCAATTTAGCAAATTGAAGATATTTAATAGAATTAATCTAAAGTATATTGTTTTATATATTTACAGTATTGTACATTGAACATTCTATATTAAAATAGAAATTCATACTATTATCATATTTAACTTCCGGAATTATGGTATACATGCTGACAAATTTAATGGAAATTTTAACACTGTCTGTGTTGGATATGAAAATTACGTTCAGTTCTTTATTGTATTCAGTTATAAAAAAATATAAATTTATTATATAGATATATATAGACAATCCACTACATTGGCACTTATAAAATTTTAATAACTTAAGATAGGTGTAAGAACTAGTTGTCCAATTAATATAGTGACTACTGCTCTAATATACATACCTTAATAGACAAATATAGTACTAATAATTTGTACCTTTACGCCTTACGTATATGTTATACCTGACTGCTCTATTCTATTGCTACAATGTAAATCAACGGTACATAAGACTGGGTATTACGTATCGTTTAGGGTTACGAGGTAAAATTCTATATCATTATTTGAAGCACGACATATTGATGTAGACTACGTAATGAGCGTATTACACAGTATACTACTTTACTGCAACTGTAATAAAAATTTGTTCCGCTAATAGTCAAGCTCACTGGACCCTAGTGACATCTATTATATAATTACTAATAGGCAGTGTATCAAAGGAGGAAGGTAACTGTTAATAATTGTGTACACATGTATAAACAGAAAAACAATCGTACATATTCATAATAAATATAGGGCACTTACTAAATCTACCAGGAATTTAATCTTTAGTTTGCAGGACCGTTATTCCTTCCATATAGCTGGTTAATTAGATATTTGATACACTGAAAGGATTCGAAGAAATTTGGTATACGGTCATATACCCTATGCTATATTTACACATAGAAGATTGTTTATCCGTTTACATGCCGGGAGCGTGAAAATATACATCTAGTAAATAATAAAGATATAACATAAGTTCGATTTTTGTGAATATACAGTAAAACTACTCATCTAACCAATGACGTTGATTAATTCTAATTATAGCACTCGACGATGATTGATCATGATTGTGCTCTATAAAATTAAACAATAGTACTCCAACAATAATTACTAGTATTAAAAATGCTAGGCATTTTTCAATATCAACATCAATATATACAGTGCAGTAAACGGTACCATAAACTTAATAATGACCGTACTCTAAAAATATACCAAATAATCTCACCTGATAAAGCTTAATTATATGAGGATGGTCCAGCCTCTTCATGATGTCCACTTCTCTGTACACCTTTTGAAGATTACTGGCATCTAATTGCGATTTATCTATTATCTTAATTGCTACCTGGAACAATATAAAAACGTAAAATTAGTTTTATTGTGAATTAAATTTTCTTTTAAAACCGAATCCACAGAATCCCTGGATACAAATGTAATCTATATACTCATATTATTATTGGAGTATTAAATGACACCATGATATGAGGTTAAAAAGAAAAATTGTCGTAATAAATTTCCAAAAAAAAGCTTAATAGAATTTATCTTTTACATTTTCAATGTTTTATATAGCTACTGTAAATGACTTTTAAAGCCCTTTATTAATAATATAATTAAATTAATTGAATAAAACATGTTACACCCCAGACCCAACGACGGCATAGAATGAATTAATATCTATTTGACAGATCTAGTAATTCATTCTAAGTTTTTCATAATTAATGAACTCAAAACCGCATAAAATCCTTAACTAAACTCAGAAAATTGTACTCAATTAAAATGATATCACATTATTACTGTTCCTGACGCTCATACACATGATCTATCATTATGGAATGGAATATTACATGTTCAGTTCAGCAATCTGTGTCACCACATACAATTTGCTTTTCAGTACTCTAACGGACAATGCCGTTAGCTTTCCAGCCAGACAAAGAGGGTATGACGTCAAGACGAGCGTCATTTCTGAACGATTGAGCCAATTGACGTGATTGGAACGACCGCTCGCTGACGGCCCAACTCCACCGAAAGGTCTTTAGAAGAAAGAAAATTAGTGTCGAGATGCACAAATGCGGCTAAAAATAGCTCTAGGTGTGAACGTAAATAGCACGTAGGTACGAAGCTAGGAATTACACTAATTCTGAAACGTGAAGTGGGTATAAATAATATGGTATATGAATAACATGGTAATTATGATCGTAAATATTCCTACAAATAATGAAGATATTTCATTAGCCAAATTGAAAATGATGTGATAAATATTATATATTTCTTATTATTTTTTTCAGATTTATTTGTTTGGGTATATATAATGAATTATTAAGTCCATAATCCCAAGCCGTTTATTAAGTGTTTTAAATTCAGTTAATTATTTGCATTAATGTAATAATTTCTATAAAATGTTAACACATAACGTTTTATTGCATATAAATACGATTTCAACCTTTATTCAATTAGTAATAATTATAATACATACTATAAATATATTTAAGCAGTAAAATAAATATAGTCTCTAACAGACAGAGACAAAGAGAGCACGGACAAAAATCGTAATCTTCAATATCGAACAAAAATCGTAATTCAGAATTAACGATGCGATTCGGGTAACACATATAAAAAAATAGTCATATTGAAAATATAGTCTAGTATACATCAACATCGTCCCGAAATATAATAAATGTTGTTTGTTTCACAATTTCCCTGACGTTACAACTTTATAAGTGCTTAACAATCATGGTCTTTCAAATTTAATCACTGTAATGCGAAGCTAGAGGGATCTGTTAAATGGAAATCATGGAAAAGTCTTCTGTAATATTAAGTCGAATATGATTCATTAGAAACAAGGGCATTTTTACCTATTATATATTTTATTGACAATTACTTTTCTGTTGAAATAGAAAATTTTGACTGGAAATACTAATTTCGCAAGGTGTAAAATCCCTTTCTTATTCAGTCACTACGTACACTTCGTATCGTATCAAAACACTACACTATGTACCTATATATTAAAACATGTATAGATGTCGTTTACCCAGTATATTATAGTTCAAGATGTCACAGTCGAAGTATATTTAAAACAAAAGCATCTTAATTGAGATACAACAATGAGTGTGTTCTGATTGACCTACTAACGTTATCTTGAAGCGGCGAATTCAATGGCGACTCAAGTATCTACCGCTTATCATATACTTACCTATAATGTATATTGCGATAGGAATGTATTTAATATAACATAACCAATATGGTTACATTCAATAAGTAAATAAATAACTTTTATTTAGGCGCATTATTGCGCTAATTATAAAGATATTGAACTTGGTAATTAATTAGTAACTAAAACAGGCAGTAAGTATAATTGCTAAATAATTTCAGTTTTTAGTTTTTTCTTGTATGTCCCTTTAATGTTATTAGATTTTAAAAATTTATCTTATTTTATTATAATTAGTAGTAGAAAAATTCTTATGATTTTATTACCATTAAAAATCAGTTAATATTAAGTTTTGTCAACATAAATACGTTAGTTCTATTAAATATATTCGAATAGTATTAAAAATACCTAAACTAACACATTATGGTAAAAATCCCGGACGATGCAATGTAGTTAAAATCCACATATATATGTATAAAAATAAAAATACAATCAAAGCAATTACAGTGACGTCTCTACAAATAGTCTACTTGAAAATTAAAGGTCAGTGCTCAAAATTGTTTTTGTTTTGATATAGACCAGGATGCTGATAATAATACAATAACGAAGCAATGCAATAGAGTTATATACCTACTGGTCAGACGCCCCGACATTGACCTGCTTGTTGATAAATGTATTACGCACACATCTTTACGTCACTCTCGTATGCTTGGACCTCACAAAATTATCACCTCATCGAATAAATGATCATTTAAACATAGGTAACTGTGACCCTCCCTTTACATGGTTGGTACAATCGTAATTGAGTAGAAGTAGAAATCCCAATCGAGCACAACATTAATCGGTCTCGTGTATCTATATCAAATCTACCAAATGTCATAAAAAGGGAGGATACTTCCTGCTTGTTAGTAATAGGGACTATTGACCTCCTGGCAGGTCGACTTTCACGCGATCACATAAATTCCACGGTGCCAAGAAAGGCTAATTGGCCTGACTACATACTCATCTCATCATCCACCATTGGTGCCTCGGTAGAGTATGTATTTATGAAACTGTAAGTGGAACTTATAAAAACATGAGTACAATTTATTAAAATTTCACATAAACACAACAGTTTACGTTTACTTCAATCATGTTCAACACTCCATACCTGGGACAAAATCGCATATGCACGAGGTGTCAGGCAATTTATATTACGAACAATGCAACAGACGCAATGAAGTGAAATTATGATTTTCACACTTTTTATGCGCCTACACGACACGGTATCTGCAGAACAAACTCTGCAATTCTATTTGATTTCTAGAGTTTCTATGTTGTGCACCACTTGCTTAAATCCGTTTTACACATAACGTCGAATATTGTGCAACGACAGGTAAGTATGTGTAGGTAGCACAATTTCGGAAACTTGTAGTTACATCATTAAATTTTATGAAAATAATACTATAATTTGCTTAATCGATCAATATTTGATTATGGTTAATCAATTATTCTAAAAAAGATTAGCAGTATATCATGTATTACCTTTCAGCTGTCTGATGTTTAATTTTCAATGAATTTGCCGATCGCACATCATACCCTTAACATCAAATCTCCATTTAAATATATATTATAGTATTTACAGTTATTCATTTGTAAAAAAATACCATTTTTCGTAATACCTATTAAATTTTAAAATGTAATACTATAATTTGTTGTTTTTATTTATTATTATTATACAATTCGAAAGGTAATTATCAAGATAATTTAGCTATGATAATGACGTTTTCTTTTATCTACTTATAAAGTTGATACCGCGCATCACGTCGAAAACATGTGATCATAATGACTTCATCAATTCTTTTTCTACTGCCAAACATGGGCCGCCCACGACAACTGTGTATGCTACTCATATTTATTAAATTATTTATTTATTACGTTACACATTAAACTTTTTCCCAGCTACATTCCAATCTAATCACTTTAAAATTATTAACAGACAATTAAATTTTAATATAGGTGTCTTGATGAAGTCATAATTTTCTTCATCTATATGCCTTAAGCTCTTCTTAATTCTTAATATATTTAACCGGCTACAAACACGAATAATTTTATTCGTGTTCAAAAATTTACCTCTCTCGACGTATCCAGTAGGCTGCACTGGCCGTGAGGTGATTACCTTTATTTGCCATAATATTATTCGAGTTAAAACCCGGTTACCTATATGTAGTAATAATATGTGCTAAACGCGAAAGTTTAAAAATAAGTATTGTAATTGTAAATGAATTTCAGTCGTAACATATTGTATGGAACACTGAAAGGAAAATGTTACGCCATATGCACATAGGCCGGAAGAAACGACCTGTTAAACACGTTGAAAAAATCTGGCTGAGGTTTAAAATCAATATGTAATGTAGAACATACATAGTCTATAATGTCATAAATAATTTGAGTAAACATTAAAATATATTTTTAATACATAAATAAATGCATTCGTTTTTTTTTTCAAATAGACTCTGAGCAAAGCAATATCCATTCAATATTGTATGAAAAGTAGCACTATTTAAATATAAATATATATATATATATATATATATATATATAATACCTATTCTATCAATTAGAATTTAGAATTTCAAAAATAGCTCTCAAAAGATAACACAATAATCAGTAATGTGTAATTATAATAAGTTTTTGGTATTTTTATCTCACTTTAAATTTATCGTTAATTTTACACTTCATTTATTTATACGAATACATATCACCAATCGTACGTAGGTACCTACAATCAATTCAGTTCAATAACCTGAATGTTACTGAACTTTATGTATTACAATATTTCTGGAACGCAGTTGGACCCATCCAATATAGCCAAATTTATAATTAGTGCGTCAACTTGCAACCAAGCTAAATGTTGGCGTGTTTGAAATATTTGGCCTGATTCTATTGGTATTATTCTTAGGCCTGCAGGTCTACTCTAACCTATAATCTCCAATGTCGATTTCAATCTAATATATTCCTGCACGGTTCTATTCAAACATAATCTGAAGACTATACTGAATAATATAACAATGTCAATTAGTTAATGTTTTTTATTGATGAATCAATTAATATAAATAAAATGCATGTAAATAGGTATGGTTCGGTCATATTTCCAGAGTGTTCTCTATAAGTTTTAATAGAAATTATCTAAAATTGCGCTAGTGGTAGCAGTTCCTAAT